AAGACAAGTGTGTCTTGCCTACAGTCAAGCATGGTGGTGGGAGTGTCATAATCTGGGGCTGCATGAGTGTTGCCGGCACTGGGGGGCTACAGTTCATTGAGGGAACCATGAATGCCAACATGTACTGTGACATACTGAAGCAGAGCATGATCCCCTCCCTTCAGAGACTGGGCCGCAGGGCAGTATTCCAACATGATAATGACCCCAAACACACCTCCAAGACCACCACTGCCTTGCTAAAGAAGCTGAAGGTAAAGGCAATGGACTGGCCAAGCATGTCTCCAGACCTAAACCCTATTGAGAATCTGTGGGGCGTCCTCAAACGGAAGGTGGAGGAGCGCAAGGTCTCTAATATCCACCAGCTCCGTGATGTCATCATGGAGGAGTGGAAGAGGACTCCAGTGGCAACCTGTGAAGTTCTGGTGACCTCCATGCCCAAGAGGGTTAAGGTAGTTGTGGAAAATATAGGCAGACACACAAAATATTGACACTTTGGACCGAATTTGGACCTTGTCACTTAGGGGTGGACCCACTTTTGTTGCCAGTAGTTTAGACATTAATGGCGATGTGTTGAGTTATTTTGAGGGGACAGCAAATTTCCATGTTATACAAGCTGTACACTGACTACGTCACATTGTAACAAAGTGTCATTTCTTCAGTGTTGTCACATGGAAAGAGAATCAAATATTTACAAAAATGTGAGGGGGGGCTCACTTTTGGGAGATACTGTAGGCATGCAGACTGCTTCTACAAACATTGGTGAAAGAATGGGTCGCTCTCAGGAGCTCAGTGACTCCAAGCGTGGTCCCGTGATAGGTTGCCAGCTGTGCAATAAGTCAATAGCTAAAGAGCTCCAAACTTGGTGTGGCCTTCAGATGAGCACAACAACAGTGTGTAGAAAGCTTCATGGGATGGGTTTCCATGGCTGAGCAGCTGCATCAAAGCCTTCCATCAGCAATGCAAAGTGTTGGATGCCGTGGTGTAAAGCATGCTGCCACTGGACTCTAGAGCAGTGGAGACGTGTTCTCTGGAGTGACCAATGATGCTTATCTGTCTGGCAATCCAATGGATATGTCTGGGTTTGCCAGAAGAATGGTACTTGCCAAACTGCATTGTGCCAAGTGTAAAGTTTGGTGGAGGGGGGAATTTGGTGTGTGGTTGTTTTTCAGGGGTTGGGCTTGGCCCCCTAGTTCCAGTGAAGGGAACCGTTAAGGCGTCAGCATACCAAGACATTTTGAACAATTTCATGATCCCAACTTTGTGGGAAGAGTTTGGGGATGGGCCCTTCCTGTTCCTTCGCAACAGTGCATGAAGCAGGCGTGCCCAAGGCCCAATACTTTTGGCAATATAGTGTATCTACTGTATAAAACTAAGATCTGCCAAAATGATCTGAAAAAGTCGCACAAGGATAGATACTTGTGCTGGAGCACATTGTTAAAGATGAGTTTTACTCAAAAGTGCTTATTTGCTTCCTCCCCCTCCACTGCCATATTTGACACCTTTTGGGGGGGTTGGGGAGCGGGTACCTAGTTTTGACCCCTTCCTCCCTCCCGCAGTCTCCTGGGAACTTTCACAGGTCCCAGGAGACTGCCAGAACAATAAGAAGCATGCACAGTGGGCACCAGGTTGTGAGGCCACAAGCTGTCACAGCCTGGTGCCCACAGTTGAGATGCTGGCGCCATGGAGGAAAGAAGGTGAGAATGGACTGCGTGGGTGAGAACATCGCTGGACCCCGGGACAGGTGAGTGTGTGTTTATTAAAAGTCAGCAAGTACAGTTTTTGTAGCTGCTGACTTTTAATAAACACAAAAACGGCTGGAAATCCGCTTTAAGTCTTTAATTCAGTCCACCCAGCACTCTACAATCCATCATGTTTGCATTAGAAGTCATGATCTAGTCAGGATATCTGAGCCAGCCCTGCTGAGCAGGGGGTGTAAGGCTACGTTCACACTAGCCTTGTTTTCAAGCGGCAGAAAGGCATTTGGGAAGCGTTTTTTCTGCTTCCCAAATGCCTCGGACAATTCTGCCCATTGCAGCACATGGTGCTGTTCTAGCGGGAGCGGTAGCATCGCGGTGCGGCAAACGGACGCCTCTGGTGGAGTCAGGAGGCGTTGAAGCCTCCTATTCTAGTCTATGGTGCCGCTCCGCAAACGCCCGGCCGGTTGCGGGGCGTTTGTGGAGCGGTAACACCATTTAAACTTCATTATAGGCGTTTGTGGTGCATTTTTAATGCTCGCCAAACACTTATCAACCGCCGCTAAACCACGCATGCGGCGTTTGCGGAGCATTTGCCGAGCGTTAAAAAACGTTCCGCAAACGCTGGACCAACGCTTGCCAAACGCTATAGGGCCGTTTGGTAAGCGTTGGTAAAACAGTCAAGTGTGAACGAGCCCTTAGAGAGGGGGCTGTGTAGAGGGCTGACTCTGTAATAAAAGGGTTCCAGTGGGGTGCTGCCTCCTCTCCAGATCTATGTACTTGATATGCTTCCTCTTACTTACCAATTGATGTCAATACAATATGAATATCCGAAAATTTAAGGTCCATAAAAGTTTTTATATCTAATTTTCTGGATGGATATGAGAATTTTACAAGATATCTGGATTGTATTTTATATGCTTCATACTTTCCATTTCCAAAAGTCACTGACTTCCCGACCTACGTAGATAGACACAGAGGAGGGAAGTGGAGAGAAGGACGGGGCTTACTTCCCGTAACATGTAGAGAATGACATCAAATCCTATCTTGCTCTATTAGAGGAGGAAGTGATGTCACTGTGATGTCATTTTCTCCAATTCTTGGGAATGACACCTCCTGGAGATACTAGGGAGTTGTGGCCATGGGAGGCCATGCGTTCCTAAAAACAAACATTCATTTCTGCCATAGTGAGACAGTGCTGTTCAGATGCCCCCAAAATGAGATCCCAGCCAGACTGGTACACTGTTCTCTGGTGCTGGTCAGGACAAACACTGGCTCACCAGTCTATGTTTGAACTATGAACTACAGAAAAATGGCGCCCGTCTGCATTCAGTCCAGCACACTGCAAATGGGGTGTAAACAAAAAACATGTGAAAATGGCTTCAGCTCCTGTCCTCCACCCTCATGGGTTTTGCCATGTAGCCGAACATCTCATTATGTATTGCAGTGCATTGTGAACTCTGCTCAGGTGCAGTATTTGGTCAAATTCCCAGCCCCCCCCCCCCTCACTATAAAAGTCAGCTCAACCAGCAGCCATTTGTTATGGCGTTGAATTTACTGGTGTTTCTTTCCCAGCTGCTGGAATGTAGGAAAAAAATATGTCCCCATCCACCCACATGCCCAGCATCACAATTCCAGTTTGGCAAAATTGGTGGCTTCAGAGCTGCTTTCAGTCCATCTGGTGGAGTTTGCCATCTTCCATGACTTTGTGGTCTGTATTGTATCAACAACCAATTTCTCACCCAAATAGTCATCCCTGCCCTCATCGGTATTTGGAACCGAATGACTCCATGTGGCTGTAACACATGTTTAGCAGCAGGGTCCACATGACCACAAGTTGTCCAGCAAGCATGGGCAGAGACATTATATCCCATTTGTGGTCCACTGGGTAACTGCTGGTGGCTGTAAAGGATGCAGGACAAGGCACACAGGTGAAGCTGGTTGTGCCACCACTTTTTTTAAAATTTGTTGACAGTGACAGAGCAGTCACCTCCACCCCCCCCCCCCCCCACTCCCTAATGCCCTCTTCTGCTGAGTCAGCCTCATGTTACAAGCACACTATTCATCTACGTATGTGACTGCAATACTGATGTTTTTAATAAAGTGTTTTATTATTATTATTATTGATTTATATGGCGCCAACAGTTTTCTCAACGATTACATTATGGTGGGAGACAATACAGTAACAATACAGTTCAATACAAGAGGGATTAGAGGGCTCTGCTCCTTGGAGCTTACAATCTAGGAGGGAGGGGCTAGTGGTACAAAAGGTAATAACTGTGGGGGATGGAGTGGTTGGAAGAGTAGAGGATTCCAGTATTAGCTGAGGGCAGGATAGGCTTCCCTGAAGAGAGAGGTTTTCAGAGATCGCCTAAAAGTGAGCAGAGTAGGCGATAGTCTGATAGATTGGGGTAGGAAGTTCCACAGGATGGGGGAAGCCCTGGAGAAGTCCTGGAGACAAGCATGGGAGGAGGAGACAAGGGAGATAGAGAGTAGGAGGTCTTGTGAGGAGTGGAGAGTACGGTTAGGGTGATATTTGGATACAAGATCGGTGATGTAGTTTGGGGCGGAGTTATGAACGGCTTTGTACGTCAGTGTTAGGGCTCGTTCACACTTGGCTGCTTTACCACGCTTGCCAAATGCCCCTATAGCGTTTGGCAAGTATTGGTCTGGCGTTTGCGGAGCGTTTTTTAATGCTCGGCAAACGCTCCACCAACTGCCGCATGCGCGGTTTAGCAGCGATTGCTATGCGTTTGCCGAGCGTTAAAAACGCCCCACAAACACCTATAATGCAGTTTGAATGGTGTCACCGCTCCGCAAATGCCCCGCAACCACGTCGCAACCGCACTGCAAACGCCGGCCGGGCGTTTGCAGAGCGGCACCATAGACTAGAATAGGCGGCTTCAACGCCTCCTGACTCGACCAGAGGCGTCCGTTTTGCAGCGACGCAACGCGATGCAAACGCTCCCGTTAGAAATGCACCATGTGCTGTAATGTGCAGAATAGGCAGAGGCGTTTGGGAAGCGGTAAAAATGCTTCCCAAACGCCTCTCTGCCGCCTGCACACAACGCTTGAACGTAGCCTTAGTGTTTTGAATTTTATCCATTGGGCAATTGGAAGCCAGTGGAAGGATTGGCAGAGAGGGGTGGAGGACACTGAGTGGAGGTCAGTGGAGGATTGGCAGAGAGGGATGGAGGACACTGAGTGGAGGTCAGTGGAGGGATTGGCAGAGAGGGGTGGAGGACACTGAGTGGAGGTCAGTGGAGGGATTGGCAGAGAGGGGTGGAGGACACTGAGTGGAGGTCAGTGGAGGGATTGGCAGAGAGGGGTGGAGGACACTGAGTGGAGGTCAGTGGAGGGATTGGCAGAGAGGGGTGGAGGACACTGAATGGAGGCCAGTGGAGGGATTGGCAGAGAGGGGTGGAGGACACTGAGTGGAGGCCAGTGGAGGGATTGGCAGAGAGGGGTGTAGGGCACACTGAATGGAGGCCAGTGGTGGGATTGGCAGAGAGGGGTGGAGGACACTGAATGGAGGCCAGTGGAGGGATTGGCAGAGAGGGGTGGAGGATATTGAGTGGAGGCCAGTGGAGGAATTGGCAGAGAGGGGTGGAGGACACTGAATAGAAGGCTGTGGAGGGATTGGCAGAGAGGGGGTGGCAGATACAGAACGGTTAGTAAGGTGGATGAGTCTGGCAGCAGCATTCATGATAGACTGAAGAGGGGATAGCCTGCGATGAGGTTGGCCAATGAGGAGGGAGTTACAATAGTCAAGGTGAGATATAACAAGGGAGTGAATAAGTTGCTTAGTGGTTTCCGGGGTTAGGAACGGGCGTATCTTGGAGATGTTGCGGAGGTGGAGTCTACACGAGTTTCTCAGCGATTGGATCTGGGGCTGAAAGGACAGATGGCAGTCTAGGATTACCCCTAGTACCCTGGCATGAGGGGAGGGACTGATGATAGTGTTGTTGATCTTGATGGAGAAGTCGGGGGGGGGCACGGACTGGGGGGAATACTAAGAGCTCAGTTTTGGAAAGATTGAGTTTGAGGAAGTGGAGTGACCTCCATGCCGATATGTCACTTAGTAGGCTTGTGATACGAGTAGAGACAGAAGGGGTGAGGTGAGGAGGAGACTGAAGGGGTGAGGTGAGGAGGAGACTGAAGGGGTGAGGTGAGGAGGAGACTGAAAGGGTGAGGTGAGGAGGAGACAGAAGGGGGGTGAGGTGAGGAGGAGACTGAAGGGGTGAGGTGAGGAGGAGACTGAAGGGGTGAGGTGAGGAGGAGACTGAAGGGGTGAGGTGAGGAGGAGACTGAAAGGGTGAGGTGAGGAGGAGACAGAAGGGGTGAGGTGAGGAGGAGACTGAAGGGGTGAGGTGAGGAGGAGACTGAAAGGGTGAGGTGAGGAGGAGACAGAAGGGGTGAGGTGAGGAGGAGACTGAAGGGGTGAGGTGAGGAGGAGACAGAAGGGGTGAGGTGAGGAGGAGACAGAAGGGGTGAGGTGAGGAGGAGACAGAAGGGGTGAGTGTGAGGAGGAGACAGAAGGGGTGAGGTGAGGAGGAGACTGAAAGGGTGAGGTGAGGAGGAGACTAAAGGGGCGAGGTGAGGAGGAGACTGAAGGGGCGAGGTGAGGAGGAGACTGAAGGGGTGAGGTGAGGAGGAGACAGAAGGGGCGAGGTGAGGAGGAGACAGAAGGGGCGAGGTGAGGAGGAGACAGAAGGGGTGAGGTGAGGAGGAGACAGAAGGGGTGAGGTGAGGAGGAGACTGAAGGGGTGAGGTGAGGAGGAGACTGAAGGGGTGAGGTGAGGAGGAGACTGAAGGGGTGAGGTGAGGAGGAGACTGAAGGGGTGAGGTGAGGGGTAGAAAGATAGATTTGTGTGTCCTCAGATGCTGCACTTAGAGGCGCCCCCTTGTGCTTGTTCTTACTGCTTAATGCAAGTTAAGGCATGATGGCCACCACATGTAAGCACAGTAATCTGCAATACGTTCTAGGTTTGTTCTTGGGTTTATCTGTTCTGGATAACACGTTCCAGGTGTGATATTCACTTGAAAACTAATGTTAAAATGGTTCTAAATTTAAAACTTTTTTTTTAACTTTAAATGCACTCTCTGCATTAAAGTAAAAAAAAAAAAAAAAATTTACACTTGTTGTGCCCCCCCCCCCCCCCCCCCCCAAACACTTACTTCTCTTGACTCAATGCTGTGCCCAGTTGCATCTCTTCTCTCCCCTCTTCCTCTTCTCAATGGAGACTCAAGCAGCAACGGGAGCCATTGGCTCCTGCTGTCATTGGTCAGATCATGTGAGGAGGGAGTGGGGACGGGAGGGATAGGGGGGACTGAGCTGGGCTGAGTGTGTCTGTGGACACACAAAGCCTGGGTCGGCAGCATGTGCACAGCTTGCTATGGGGGCCCACGCAGAAGTAGAAGAGAGGACAGTGCTGTCGGGACTGAAAAAGAGCAGGTAAGGGAAGGTCCTGTGCAATACCATTGCACAGAGCAGTTGAGGATACCCTCTAAGTTTAGCCTTTACAATCCCTTGGATGTTTCATTTTATGTCTCAGTTCTGCTCAGTGTCTGTCTTGGCCTGATCAGTATTGCCTCTCCTGTCCTTCAGGTTCTGGAAGCCAGGTCAGCCTGATAATTGGAAGGGTCATGGTCTCGGAGGAGGGGAAGACTGCGCTGAGATGGGGAATGGATATTGGAATGACGATCGCTGTTCTCAGAGCTACAAGTACATCTGTGAGAAGAAGATATTCTGATATGGACTGATGAACAGCAGAGGACACCTGATATCTCTGTCTCTCTTTTCTCCTTCTCCATCATTGTCATGTTTCACATGACTGTCATATGTCTTTAAGTGTTCTCTGTATTTTCTCTCTGCTCCTCCCTTTCCTCTGGTTTAGGTAATGCTGTACAGATAGCCCAACCCCTTTTCCCAGAAATGCATAGCAGCTTCTAGCCTCATGTCATGAAGCATGTCACATTATGATCTTTTGACCTATCAGATGTTCATTGTTGTAAGATTCTCTCAGTTTATGGAATAAACTTCACAAGATCTACAAGATATCATCCGACTGAGTCACTGACTGTGGTATCCAACTGAGATTGGAGTTATCGTTTATCTCATCACAACTGTATATTACAGAGATCACACTTTCAATGCTTAGATTGGAGAGACAGAACAATCGCACTACAGCCATATAGAAATTACTACTGCAAGAGTAATCCTGGAGGATGTGCTGGGGCTTGTAGTTCCTCTAGATTGGGAGGATATCAGAGCGGCCATACTCATCTTGCAGTTTTAACTCATGGATGAAATGAAGAGTTATCCAACTTGTTATCAACTAAGAAGGCCAATCTTCCTTCTCAGCTCCTCTGCCCCCTCCATTCCCTTTCTCATACCCCGATTCCCTCACACCCCTACATGATTACCAATACCCATTCCAATCTCCCATACCCACCCCGGCAACACTCTTCACACCCCTCCCCCTTTCATTCATTACCAACTTACCACATACCCCCCCCCCCCATCCTTATCATTGTCATTTATAGTTCTGGGTTCTACCGCCCCCTCTATGAGAACTCACTATAGTAGCCCCCACTCCATCCCATATAACCTCATAAAACTGATAACTATACTCTTGCCTCTCAGACCCCCCCCCCCCCTCGCTTTCTCATACCCTCATCCTCAGCTGGGCGTACCCGGGGGCCGCGACCTGGTCCCAGCTTGCTGCAAGTCCATCCCCACCATCAGGGGCTCTGGTGAAGAAGCAGGCTGGGGCTTAGACTCCATGCCTGGGGAACCCCAAGTTGACTATCTACAAGGCCTCACTACCACAGGAGCTGAAAGTGGAGGCAGACAAATGTTTGTGTTGCCAAGGGCAGTACAAAACCTAAAATACACCAATGGCTTAACGGTTAAAGCATTTCAAGTGGCAGTCAGCACTCTCCTCGACATCCGTGTTTATCAGACCGGAACTGAAGTTTTCTTTAACCCCTCGCCTACCGGGCACTTATACCCCCTTCTTTACCAGGCCAATTTTCAGCTTTCAGCGCTGCCGCACTTTGATTGACAATTGCGCGGTCATGCAACATTGTACCCATATGAAATTTTGATCATTGTTTTCTCACAAATAGAGCTTTCTTTTGGTGGTATTTAATCGCCACTGGGCGCTTTACTTTTTGCGCTATAAACAAAAAAAGTGCAAAAAATTTGAAAAAAAAAAAAGTTTCTTTGTTTCTATTATAAAATTTTGCAAACAGGTAATTTTTCTCCTTCACTGATGTGCGTTGATGAGGCAGCACTGATGGGCACTGATAGGCGGCACTGATGGGCACTGATAGGCAGCACTAAAGGGCACTGATAGGCAGTACTAATGAGGTGGCACGGATAGGCGGCACTGATAGGCAGCACTAATGAGGTGTCACGGATAGGCGGCACTGATATGCAGCACTGATAGGTGGCACTGATAGCTGACACTGATGATGGGTACTGATAGACGGCACTGACTGGCATCACTGCTGGGCACTGACTGGCAGCACTGACTGGCACAACCGCTGGGCACTGACTGGTGGCACTGACTGGCAGCACTGCTGGGCTGCACTGGTGGGTGGCACTGGTGGGCAGCACTGGTGGGTGGGCACAGGTGGGCACAGGTGGGTGGGCACAGGTGGGTGGCACTGCTGGGCACAGGTAGGTGGCACTTCTGGGCACAGGTGTGTGACACTGCAGAGTGGCACAGGTGGGTGCATTGCTGGGCACAGGTGGGTGATCTGCTGGGCACAGGTGGGCGGAGCTAGTGGGTGCACTGCTGGGCACAGGTGGGCGGAACTTGTGGGTGGCACTGCTGGGAACCGATCATCAGGGCACTGATCATCAGTGCCCTAATGATCGGTGCCGATCTTCGCTCTGACAACTGCCGGTTCTCGGCAGTACTTTCCTCACGATCTGACAGCGTGAGGAAAGTGCAGCCGAGAACCGGCAATTGCATTTCCCTGTGATCAGCGTGTCATTGGACACCGCTGATCACGTGGTAAAAGGCCGCTGTGATTGGCCTTTTACCACATCACGTGATCAGCTGTGTCCGTAGGACACAGCGATCACGGGAGATCGCCGGGTGCGTGCCCCCTGGGGCGCGCAGGAGAGTGCGTTCTGGGAGGACGTCATATGACGTCCACCCAGAACTGGCCGGCCGCAGTGCAGCCATCATTTGGCTATCTGCGGTCGGCAACTAGTTGGAAGCTTGACGAAGCTTTACATATGGCTTCCTGTACACCCTGCCTGGATGAAAATGGCAGCTTGTGTGGCCAAGGTCTAAGGGGTCTTCTTTGGTTAAGAAGAATCCCTGGTGTAGAAGTTCATGTCCACCATGGAAGACCTTCTCAAAGAGCTAATACTTTATTCCATAAATAATCGGTCGCTCCTCCAAATGAGGCTTTATCATTTCTACATATTTTCTGCTCATTCTGCGAGGAAATGTCTTTATGTTGTCTTCTGTGTCTTCCCCAGATAAGAGTATCACCGAGGAGCAGCAGTCCCGTCCGATGGGACAATGGTGTTTCCTTCCACTACTTACAGCTCTAGAAGTTTTGGGTGTAAATATCTGCATTTTGCAGATATGTGATAATGTTGCCGTACAGGAAGAGGGTGGGGCGGAAGACACGGGTTTCAGTTCCTTCATCAATGATGGTTATTATGTAGGTTAACCACATACATGCTCAGTTCCTGCGGCCATGGAGGTTATGATGTAGGTGAACACTTGAGTCCCCCGGGACATTTTCTAAAATCTCCTTGAGTTCACAGATGTCTCAGTTCCACACATTATGCCTTTTAGTAATTGCAGTCTACCCTGAACTATCATAATTAGAGATGAGCGAATTTTTCAAAAATTCGATTCGCCTGATTCGCCAAATTTTCCGAAAAAATTTGATTCGATTTGAATTTATTCGCCGCAAATTTTACTTATAAAAAGGGTTTCTAGGCTTCAGAGAGCCTTTATATTAGTGCAGAACACTGTACCTTTAATTTAAATGCCCTTGGAGTCTGCTGGGGAAGAGAAATAATACTGTCAGTCAGTATGACATGCAGATGAGTGCCGTCCATCTTAGAATCACCGCACACTTCACTCATTTGGGCAGTCACGGGGCCCAAAGAAGGAGAAGGAGAAGAAGAAGAAGAAGAGAAGAAGAATGAAAAGAATGAAAAGAAGAAGAAGAAGAAGAAGAATGAAAAGAATGAAAAGAATGAGAAGAAGAAGAATGAAAAGAATGAAAAGAAGAAGAAGAATGAAAAGAATGAAAAGAAGAATGAAAAGAATGAAAAGAAGAATGAAAATAAGAAGAAGAATGAAAAGAAGAATGAAAAGAATGAAAAGAAGAATGAAAAGAAGAAGAAGAATGAAAAGAAGAATGAAAAGAATGAAAAGAAGAATGAAAAAGAAGAAGAAGAATGAAAAGAAGAATGAAAAGAATGAAAAGAAGAATGAAAAGAATGAAAAGAAGAATGAAAATAAGAAGAAGAATGAAAAGAAGAATGAAAAGAATGAAAAGAAAAATGAAAATAAGAAGAAGAATGAAAAGAAGAATGAAAAGAATGAAAAGAAAAATGAAAAGAATGAAAAGAAGAATGAAAAGAAGAATGAAAAGAATGAAAAGAAGAATGAAAAGAAGAAGAAGAATGAAAAGAAGAATGAAAAGAATGAAAAGAAGAATGAAAATAAGAAGAAGAATGAAAAGAAGAATGAAAATAAGAAGAAGAATGAAAAGAAGAATGAAAAGAATGAAAAGAAGAATGAAAATAATGAAAAGAAGAATGAAAAGAATGACAAGAAGAATGAAAAGAAGAATGAAAATAAGAAGAAGAATGAAAAGAAGAATGAAAAGAATGAAAAGAAAAATGAAAATAAGAAGAAGAATGAAAAGAAGAATGAAAAGAATGAAAAGAAAAATGAAAAG